TTGTAATACTCAATTTTGATTGGCACTGCCTAGTATTACTAACTACCAAATAATTTTAATTAATTTCCTGATTAAATTAACCTCGAGTCTCAAGTTCGAGTGTTGATCATTCAAGGCAAAAGTTCAAAATAAAAATTTTGCAAGAATCGGAAGTTCTAACATTACATTCCCTCGATATCCATAACATTGCAAGTTCTAATACATTTCATTTTTCTTTCTGAAAAACAAAATAGCAAACTTGGCAAAGCTTTATTTTGTCTTACTCGACATCTCTGGAAAGAACTACCTTACATGGGTCGTAGATGCTACACTTTCTCTTAAGGCTAGAAATCTTGGGAACACTGTTAAGGAAGGAAAACACTGCATCCTCTCAAGATCGAGCCAAAACCATGACCTTTATTCGCCACCACACCCATGAAGGATTGGAGGTGAATACTTGACGGTTTCCAAAACTCGTTATGACTAGACATACCTGCGAATCCAAGATTTTAAATCAGTAGTTGAGTATAATTTTGTAATGTTTAGAATAAGATCCCAATGAACCTTTGTGGGGAGAAGGTCACTGAAGCAAACATGTTGGAAGAAACATTCAGTATTTCTCATGCCTCTCTCCAACAGCAACAATATAGAAAGTACGGTTTAACAGAGTACAACTAGCTGATATTAGTACTAGGGGTGGGTAAATAGATCCAAGGTCTGTGGGTCAGGGCAGTACAAAGTGGGTTCAAAAATTATAAATAATAAATGGGGCAGGGTGGGGTGGTTCTATGGAATTAGCAGGGTGGGGCAGGTTCTAAAATCTAGGGAAACGAGTGCTCAGCCCGAACTATTTCCATGCTTATCACTTCTCCATCATTTGACTCACTCTTCTAATTCTCTACATCAAAATCACAAAAGACCCACGATCCCCAAACTCTATTAATGACGAGAAGATTAGAGCAAGCCGCCGGCTAACAAGAAGAAGATCGAGGACTCAATCGAGAGGCTGCCATCCAGTGGTTGGACAACAACTAGTTGTCGGATGTCGATGAGTTCGAGGACAAGATGGAGTTAGAGAGCATCTGCAACCCAATCATAAGGTGCACCTGGGAGCTGTTGGCAACGGTGCCGACTAGTTGATGATGATGTCCTTCCAGTGCCAGCAGCCCAGGTCTCAAGATCAACAAGGTCGACTAAGTTTCTGCTGCAAGGTTTTTTATTGGGATTATTTAGGTGTTTTGTGAACTTGAAATTTTATTTTTATTTGGGACTTGAAATTATAGATCAATGCTTTTTTTTTTTTTTTTTTTAAATTCTATTTGCGAAACCTTTTGGTCTATGAGAAGGAAGAGGAAATCAAAGAGGAATTGATTGAAATTTCTTATATTTAAACCCTAAGGTATTCCCTTTCTTTTATTCTTTGAATTCATGGCCGATAAGAAGGCAAATTGGATTTGTGGGTTTGTATGAAAGAGTTCTATTGAAACTCTAATATAATCCCTAATTTGCCTTGACAATGCAAATCTTTCGGTGGTTATTTTGATGGAACTGCCGATAACAATGTTGTTTGAAGAAGCAAATCTTTAAATGAAGAAAACGAAGAGGACGACAAAGACCAGACTTGAGGCATGAGTGGAGATTTGGACTTGTGGACCCGTAGGAACCAACCCGTTTCAAATCGGTTAGGTTAGGTTCGGTTCCCAGTTCAAAATTTCTATTACCTGGCCCGCCTCGCCCCATTGTATTTTCAAATGGGTCAAGTCCGGTTCCTCTAAATTTGGGCTCGGCCCATGCCCACCCGTAATTAGTACTCTTTGTGTCTGAGCAGAACAATAATCTTTTGATGAAAAATCATTAATCCCGACCAACTGGATCAATGCCGTTCCCAGAAATGAATGCTCATTTTCTTGAAGAACATCACCTCTCACGTGGTAGTAACTACAGACGAGGATGTGGACATAGGTGAGGCCGATACAATGGAGAAGGTAAAAGTCAACATTTTCATAGTTACAACCAAAGTTCAAGGAATAATCTGATCTCAAGCTTTATGAATGTAAATCTCTGTAAAGGAAAAACCCATATGAATTACGCTTCAAAAATCCTGAAGAAGTTTCCTATAAGTGTGGTAATAATGGTCATTGGGCGCGTTCATGTCGTACCCCGAAATATCTTATGGATCTTTATCAAGCCTCACTCAAAAGAAAGAATGTCGAGACTAATTTCATCTACCAGGCTGATATGATGGATATACATGGTCGTGTTCGATTTATCAGGTCAATTGGACACACCCATCTAGATGTTTCCAAGTTCATTATAGAAAGGGTGAATCAAGTTTATGGGTCTGATTGAATCAATTTTATTCAATATACTCTTATTTTTCATTATCTAAACTTGTTATTTGAAGCTTACTTCAATAAAAGCAACGTTGCAATTTTCTTTTGTTATGAATAAATTGTTTTTAACTTTGATTGTCTTACTAATCAGAAACCATGGAAAAAATTATGGTTGTTATCAAAACAAAAACAATGGCTAAGATGTTTGTCTTGCAGACATTGTAACTATGCATATGATACTTCGAAATTGAAAATATTTCTCAAGCTTTATACTTATATTTAAAAAGTCTTAAATTAATTTGGCATGGATAAAGCTCAGCCACTTGGCACACCATTGGTCGTTCAGTCTATTTACTTTAACAAAGATCCATGTCATCCAAAAGAAAATTATAAAGGTCCTTGGTTCAGAAGTACCATATCTAAGTGAAATAAGTGCTTTATTATATTTAGCACAATGTACTAGACCAAATATAGTTTTTAAAGTCAACTTGTTAGCAAGATATAGTTTGCTCTAATAATTGACACTGGAAGAGAACCAAAGATGTTTCAGAATATTCAGGGGACAACAAACATAGGCCTACTCTACTTCGAGAAACCCATAAATGACTAGAATCTTGTTAGATATGCAGATTTTGGTTTTCTCTCTGATCTAAATAAAGCAAGCTCACAAACTAGATAGGTGACACTTATTAAAATACAGCAATCTCATGGCGCTCAATGAAGCAAACACTAGTGGATACATCTTCCAATCACTTAGAAATAATTACTCTTCGTGAAGGCGGTCGTGAATGATTTTGGTTAAGATAATGTAGCATGTATTTCTCAAATGAATGAACGATTTCCCAAAAGCTATAAGACAAAACACACTTGTCCAAAGTTTTTCAATACACATGAGCTTCAAAAGGGCTAAATTTAATGAAATCAAACGAATTTGTTCCAACAATAATCTAACTGACACATTCATCAAATCTTTACCGAAGTTTACATTTCAGAGATTGGGCACGTTATCGGATTACGCCAACTTATTAATCAACCATATTGAAGAATGTGGAATCAGGTGAAGATACTCATTAAGGGGAGCATCCAAGATACATGTGTGTTGTACTCTTTTTCCTTCAACTAGGGTTTTTCTCACTGGTTTTTCCTAGGCAGGTTTTAATTTGGCAACATAAGTAGGAAGGTTTTAATGAGCCAACATAAGCAAACGTAACACTATATGAATAATCCAAACAAAGTTGTACTCTTTTTCCTTCACTACGATTTTTTTTCCAACTAGATTTTTGTAGCAAGGTTTTAATGAGGCAACCATAAATATATGACCATCAAGGGGAGTGTTGTGAAATAGGTGTGAATGGCTGCATAAAACAAGCATGTGGCCAAGGATGGAAGATGGAATAATAGAAGTAAAAAAATGTATGGCTTAAATAGTAGAAGTTTGGTTTTGTTCAAAAAAAAAATTATATAAATAACTAGTAGAAGTTTGGTTTTTACTATTTTGGTGTATAAGTGTTATCCATGCATTGAAAGAGGTGTCTATTGAAAACATCTATATATAAAGGTATGCTTGTAACATACTAGTATTACAAAAAATGAAAAATATAAAGTCACAATTCTGTTTTCCTCACCTTTCATTCTCTATGTTCATTTCTCTTGTTTGGCATCAATAAATAAAATAAACAGATGATTCATCGCTCCCGTTTCCTTTCAATCTCTAGCAAAGGTTCTCTCTTTTTGCCTAGTTAGAACATTTTTATATAAAATAAGAGATTTTTAAATACATTGAATTCTTGGGGAGTTTGTGAGACTTTACATTGACTTTGAATGAATTCCATATGGATTTTAATGGAGTTTATGATACTTTTATCATTTATTTTAATGGATTGTCATAAATTTTTAATGACTTATTTAATAGACATTTCACTAATTCAAATTTTCAATATTCGAATAATGGTGATTTAAGGTGACAGTGGCAGTATGATGATAGGGATGGAGGCTACAAAGGTGATGGTGTTGTTATTGTCGATACAAATTTCTGCCGTTTCTAGCTTTGATGAAAATGAACCTGCAAAAAATCAACACTTTTGATCAAAGACCTAAGCCTCACGTGCCCACAAGGTGGGGGAGGGGAAGGGTTAGGCCAATGGATCTCCGATGCCTAACTTAGTTTCTCTTAAAAATAGTAAGTGTTTAGGGCTTTTTAGGGGTAGCAAAAGTTTACCAAAATTTGGTAGAGATGGAGGTATTTATAGGGGAGTGACCGGCCATGATGTTAGGGTTTTATCCTACACATGGCGGCATCTTATTGGCCAAGGTTTATGGAGAAATATTCTCAAGATATTAAATAGGAAATAATATCTTGAGATACTGGAGTAAATATCCCTAATTGATTTAAATACGGATTACTTATTTGAATTGAGTCAATCTTCAATTGGAATGTATTAAAAATAGAATTTGGGTAATTAATCCTCATCTTTAATGCTTTGACATTTCCTTGCCAAAGGCATGTGAGTTGTGGACAGTCGTATTCAGCTACATGGACTAAGGGTGGGCAAACATGTCTTGGACCTATGGGTCGGGACAGGTCTATGCGATTCGAGGCGGGTACAAAAACTATAAACACAAAAATAGGGCAGGGCGGGTCAAGTCCATATAAATAACGGGGCAGGTCGGATCCAAGAATTTGAAAAAACAGGCCCCTGGCCCCAAACCGTTGATACCATTTTGATTAAATCTTAACCGCTGACATAGTCACGCACACACAACCCAACGAACCTCGAGATGTAGAATTTCGTGAAAACCGGGGAAGACCATCACTCTCGAGGTCGAGAGCAGCGACACTATCGACAATGTCAAGGCCAAGATCCAGGGCAAGGAGGGCATTCCACCGGACCAGTAGTACTTGATCTTCACCAGAAAGAGTCGACTCTTCATCTACTGCTGAGGCTCCGCGGAAGGATTATTAAGCTTTCTCTGATGCCCTTGGTTCACAAGTACAATCACGAGAAGATGATTTGCAGAAACTGCTATACTTGTCTACATCCAAGGGCTATGAACTGCAGGAAGAAGAAGTGTGGCCACATCAACCAGTTGAGCCGCAAGAAGAAAACCAAGAAGAAGATGTTTGTTGCATATCAAATTTTAGATTATGCAGAATTACAAAGTGAAAAAGTAAGTGAATTTTCTTTTGCTTATGATCTATGCGCAGGTATCCAAGATGAAGCATTTCTAGTGTAAAGAATTTAGGGTTTTTAAATTAGAATTTGTAGATTGATGATTGATCTGTTACTACCATTTAGGGTTTTCTTAAAATTTGGATTGCATTTTTTATTTGTGTTGGTTTTTTTTTTTTATGGTTCTGATTTTATGGTCTTCTCCTCTTTCCCTGACGAGTAAGGAAGACAGCTTGAATGGTCCGACCTGCATCTAGGTTGTCGTGGAGGAAATTAGGAAATAGTTGCTCGATGACTGAGGAAGATGACTTGAATAACGTCGTCCCTTTCTTTGTTGTGTGGTGCAGTGCTTGGTCAATCACAAGTACTTCGACAGTTGCGAAGGAAGCTAGTTCTTTTAGGGTTTTTTTTTTTTTTGTGCTTTTGTATGTTTCTATTTTGGGCTCTTCCCTTAGGCTAGGCTTTCGTTTAGTGTTGGGGGTTCATTATTTATTATGTGTTTAAAGTGTAATTGGGCCCTTTGTATGTATTGATAATCTGATAATGAAAATTACCTTCGACCCAAAAGAAAAAAAAAGTAATAGGAACCATGGACCCGCCCTAAACCGACCCATTTAAAATGGGCTGGGTTAGGTCCGGTTCTAAACTCTAAAGCTCTTTACCCGGCCCGGTCGACCCCGTTACATTTTAAAACAGGTAGGGCCTGGTTCCTTTAAATTTGGGCCCGAATTGGCCCGTGCCTAGCCCTAACATGGACTTTCAAGGGTGCTAAGCTGTGCGTGGGAGTATCTGAAGAGCCTGCCCATTTAATGAGGGCAATCTTGTCTTTCTTGAGCAAAAGTCCACATGTCGCCTCTAGAATTTTTTGGATTATTTTAGGCTCCACAAATGCCCCCATACCTGTTAAGCTGCATTTAGGAAAATGAAATCCTAAGCTACATAGGTGTGTAGAGTTATTTCCAAATTTCATGTAGATCTCCTTCATTGACTTGAAGATAGACCCTTCTAGGAAAAGGAAACCAATTGCCCCCAACACCGATTTAATTCTGCCTTAAGCAGGGGATTAAATAAATTTAGAGAATAATCTTCATTCCAACAAGGAAGAAAGAAGCTAGAGGAAATTTTTTCCCCCTAGCTCTCTTCTTCTCTTGCCCTTGCAAAGAGTTAATTCTTATTGTAGTTTTTCTTCTCCACGCCGCCAAGGTACGAAAAAGGTAATTTTCTTTGTCTTCTTAGGTAGTGCTGCCGCGAGGTAGCCGTTGAGGTGGTGCGGTATGTCAGCTGGTAAGGGCCAAGAGTTCCCTCGGCGGGTACCGAGGAGGTGGCGTGAAATGGGCCATGGCTTAAACTGCTTAGCTCGACTAGAACCAAAAGTAGCTACGCATCTAAGGTTGCGACTTAAGGCACTAGGGCACAGTACATAGCGAACTATGGGGCTTGAGCTCCTTCTAAGGGCCTGAATCTAACATGGTAAAATCATGCATGTTGGATGGTATGAGGCAACTGAGGTCTCATCATAGGTTGATTGATGCCTCAAGCAAAGGTGGTATAAGAAGGCGAGGCGAACGGTGTGCTAGGGGTGGAGTTGAGCAAGTCGCAAAGCTCTAGCCCTTCTAGATTTGGGGTTAGCATAGTGATGCGAGAATTATACGCGCACAAATTAAACCCTCTTTTTGACAATTGTAGTATGGATGTAAGTAGGGATCGTTCTGGACCGGGGATTAGGAGGGATTGCTAAAACCTTGGAAACTGACTCAAAAACGTAAAAACAAGATAAAACACTAAACTAGACTCAAAGAATGTGAAACTAAACGTTAAAACATTAAAAGACTCAAAACTAATTTTTGGATGAATTTAAGAGTATGGCTTGATTCAAAATACCTTAAACATAAACTAAACAGATTCTAAGCACTAAAGAACAAGAAAGTAAAAAGGGGGGGGGAAAAGTTTTGATTTGACGAAAATTGAAATAACAAAACAAGTTAATAAACTGAGCGGAATGAAGGCTAGCTAAGGGGTTCTTCTCCACATATGTTATACTTGCATACAAGATTGATTCTCAGTTGGTCTTTCGATAAATTATGAAACTCAACACTCCGGATTAATTAGGTCCGCTTAAATTAACCGTCAAGTTTTCCTTAAGTTAATGAATTGGATGGTTTTGCGCAACGCAATTCACAACATTCTCCAAAAGTCCTTTACGTGAACAGCACAATAAAGATACAATCAAAGATCATTAAGCATTATGAAAACTATAAGTGTTGACGAGACATTCGTTACTATGATGAGCATGAAACTCGTGCCAAGAATATGTTTAACACGATTGTTTATAAGCAACCTCCACTACTTGTGAATATAAGTTCATAACGATTAGGTGAAATTCACTTATATTCTAGCGTCATATTTATGCATGAAAATTAAGCGCGCATTCTTAATAAACATTCATAAATAAGCTATCAATTAAACGGTTAAACAAATTGAATCCACAACTTATGAAATTCCAACGAAAGTTAATCAATTCATATTGCAAATATAAACATAGTTTCGAATCACCCCCTACCTAAAGGGGGTTTAGTTCCTCATAACTTTGAAATCAAAGAAACACCTAAACATTCCAACAACTCAAAGCTTGAATTGTATGAACGTTTAAGCACTCTTCTCTTCCATACATACAAAACAAAAAGAATTAAAATGAAACTTTGAAATCAAAGAAACACCTAAACATTCCAACAACTCAAACTTGAATTGTATGAACGTTTAAGCACTCTTCTCTTCCTCGTCGTAGCACAAGGTTTAAGGATAGGTTGTGTGATGGTATGAAGTGTTTTGGAGGGATGGGAAGTGGTTGGATAGTGGCTACAATGGAGGAGAAAAACTGCATAGAAAATGGGATGATATGCACGGCAAGGGGCTTGGGAAATGGTGTGTTTGTGTATGAAAAATGAGGAATCAATTGAAAGATGAGAATGCAAGGGCTTTTATAGGAGAATGAAGGTGTGAATGGCTGTTTGTTTAAGCATGCAAGTGGCTAATTAATGATGAACAAACAGCTAAGAAAGCATATGCAAGCTGGAATTGCACAAGGGAGCCAAAGGGAACCCACGGCATGGACAGTTTTGGTGCATGTGTTGGCTGATTTGTATGATTGTTTTGTGGTGAATTGGAATGCAAATTGAATGAATAATGAAATGGGAAAGCATGTGGATTAGGTGGAATGTAAGGGGAATAATGATGGAGAAAAACTTAAAATGCAAAGGAATGTTGGAAAGGCATGTGCAATTGCATGTGTGTGTGTTGGAAATGGGATGATAGCCACGGCACTTGGAGTGTTTGTTTGATGATGATGCATGTGATGGGTGGAAACAAAGGGGGAAACATGGCACAAGGGTGCTTGAGTGAATGATTGAATGTGCATGTGGAATAAAAGAATGAGTGGTGGTGTAATGATGAAGTGAATGCATGTGGAAATTGCAATTAGGAAAGCTGAAATTGTGATGGAGAGTGCACGGTTTTGGTGTGGAGAAAAGTGTGAATGTGCATGTGGCTTTGTGGTTGAATGATTAAAGGGTGCATGTGGGTGATTGTTGTTGTGATAAGTGATAAGTGATAGGTGTATGGTTATGATAAGGAGATGAATGAATGATATGTTAAGTGATAAATGAATGATATGTTAAGTGATAATTGAATGATATGTGGTGAGTGATAAGTAAATGGTAGTGATAAGTGAATGGTTTGATAAGTGAGTGGTATGATAAGTGAATGATATGATAAGTGAATGATATGATAAGTGAATGAGTGTATGGTTAGGAAACAAGGCCCTTCCTTGCATGGCAAGGAAGGGAAACACCAAGGGACACACGGCAAGGGTAACAATGTTGGAAAGGAAATTGTTTTGTGACCTAGAATAAGTAGGATTCCTTGATATTGTTCAAACAAAAGGTCTTTAGGTCTTCAATTTCGTCCATTCCTTTTGCTCCGAGCATATGCTATCCATTCCAAGCCCAATTTTGCTCCAAAATGCTCCAAAATGCATCTTTTTGCTTCCTTAGCCATATGAACCTAAAAACACACGAAAATGGCTTAAACTACTAAAACAAATATGAATTAACAACATAGATGCACGAAAACAAGCTAAGTAAGTCGCCTAAATATGCTCCTATCACATAGGCCAAGTATAACGAGGTAGGCTCGGGCCTACTATACCATGAAGGAAGAGGGACAAAAAAGCATGGGGTGCCATCTTTCTTGCTTGTAACTTGGGCCGCAGGTTAGGCTTCCTAGGCCAAGAATTATATGTCTGAGCCCATGACTTAGGCGTGAAGCACTATGCTTGGTGGGCTGGACACAGGCTCGTGTTGCTGAGAAGAGAAAGATGTGGGCCAAGGACTATGTGGTCCAAGCGTCAGTTGGAGAGAAAATGGCACCAGGTTGTGAGGCTTGGCGTATGCTGCTAAAGAGCTTGTCATTGATCTAACTTCTCCCAAGAGAAAGAAAAAGATTGTTGAGTTTAAGCTTAAGAAACCTGCTGCTTCGAACGTGGCCACGACCGTTGCTAAGAGGATTATCTAACGAAAAAGTTTGGTGATGGCCTTAGTGTCTAGGTTCGTATCAAAGCATGCATCGGGAGCTAAGTCTAGTTCGACTTCTGAGAGGCTCGCCACTATGAAACGTGGGAAGGTGGATTCCACTACTAAGATAGCTCCTGGGCCTGCTCCTCCTTCTACTGCGACTGATTCGTATGCTGAGAAAGGGAAGTTTGTTTGTGTGTGCAGTTATGAGAAATCCATTGAGTTTGGTTCTAAAGAGTTTCCTAAGGTTTGTGTGCTATTGAAGGTTGACTTGCCTAAAAACGTCGATGCATACATTGTTAATAATGTTATGATAGTTGTACATTTAGGCTTTAACTTTTGCAAAACTTAAAGTGTAAACCGTCGGCTGAAAGCACTGGTAGTGTGACCAGGTCCTTAGTGGAATGCTTAATACTTTGTCTGATCTTGCTTGGTAAGATCACCCTTCATGGGTTGTAGCAATTAGAACCATGGTTCATTCTTGAGCTTACGAAGAATCTGGCTAATTGGAACTATGAACTTGGTGTACGTTTCAGGCGCTGAGTCATCTCTGTTTGTGGAATAGTCCCTACGCTTTTTTGTTTGATTGATCCCGCTGAACTGCTTAGCCTTATCTCATAGTGTGTGCTTCTCTGTCAATCATACAAAGTTGTTAAGGTTAGTTCCCTGCCCATGGTCAATTTTCCAAATAAAAGGTGTTCAATGGGAAGCCCATTTTGAATGCTGCCATTGCTATGCCTTCGTTGCAGCTAACAATCTTAGCCTTCTTTACCTTGAACCTCTTGATATAGTTGCAAATTGATTCAGTTGGGTCCTTGACGAAGAAGTGGTTGGACATCTTTTTAATTGAGTAGTAGGACGAATATTCCTTGGTGAAAACTAAAGAAAGTTCGTTGAAGTTCCAGATTAAGTGCGAATGTAAAGCATGGAACAAGTCATGTGTATCGCCTTACAATATCATAGTGAAAACCTTACACATGAGAACGTAATTATTGATGT